GCAAGGAGAGTCCTTCTAAATCTCAGATCCACTCCCTTGGGAACTCATAGACTCTCACTTTTTGAGATAGTCACAGGACATCCAATGCATTTGGCCCCTACCTCCTTTGACCTATAGTTGACAAAAGGAGATATACTTCAAAAGCACAAAGGCCTAATTGCTTCTATTAAAAATAACCATCCTTTGGTAGAGCAATCTTTTTACAGTGTATTCCCAGGAGACAATGACCTTGCAACCCAAAGATTTCATCTGTTGGGAAAGACACCTCCAGAAAGACTCTTCTACCTCATCAGGAACTGCAAACCAACCCTTGTGCTGCCAAACTGCCAGAGAAGAAACTCTTGGATCCACGTGACACAGCTAGAGAAAGCACCAAACCCTGACCGAACGTGTATACCATCTGGTGACCTTAAAGTAAAAATTTCCTGGAATTGAGGCAGATAACATCTGATGAGACAGCTTTCCCAAGGTGTCCAGACCAGGCCTGTATACCTTTTTCTCACTGTTGCTTCTTTTCTCTCTTTTGTAGAAAGCCAAAGCCCTTGTCTGCATTTCCCAAGCCCTTGTGAAAGGGGGAAACCTTTGGGAAAAAGCCTCATCGTGATCTCATGACAAATTAAGTTTTCACTTGCTTTTCCTGAGGGGTTAAAGGTTCAGAATTCACAAAAGTTTTCTTTCAGCTGAACTATTAAGTGACTTTGGATTTATATCGAAATTTACGGTCTCTGAATTTGCGACCTTGCAGGCTGGTATTGTCAATAGCATATTTGGTTCCAAACAGTTCTTTTGAGATAACGATAATGTTTTGAAATATCTTTGAAGTTTTGCTCTTTTGCAAAAAGTTGATTCGTTATTGCTTCATGTTTATACCTACAGTGTAGCTTCCCAAATGCACGCAGTTCATTCTTTCAGTGTGCTCCTGCGGTAGCCACTATTCTGCTTTCATGGTTGCTTTAAGTGGAGCCTTCCGGGAGGCAGACGTGACTCTGGATTTGCCTTCATCAGGAGAAATTTCTCCCCTACGTCAGTGAGTGCCAATAAATTTTCCATTTGGCTACTTTCAGACCCGAAGTGCTGGTTTAGAATCATCATACAACTTGGAATGGTTATGTTACTTCTTCTGTTTTGTATAATTATTTTACGTTTTGTGTTTCATTGACTGTCAAGCTTAAAAAAGAAACCAATATACCCAGTAAAGTGATGCTGGCTCAATGCTTTGAGATGATCAACACTTATGACCTTGAGAAGATGTGGACTTTAGATGCACAGTACCTGAGAGTTTCTTCCTACTAACCTTCTTTATTACTCAAATGTGGCTTTAAGTGGTTTCCATCTACTATGCACTTTCCTATGACATAAGACATGACAGCAAGCAAAAGTCCTTCCTGGCACTGAGGGATAAAACCACTAAAGATAAGAAAAACCTGACTATCGATCAGTGATGCTTTTAAAGAAAGACCTTGACCAAAAGGGGGAAATGTGAACACTCATAAAGGGAAACCTCATTAAAATGGGCCAGGAGGTTTGACAGGGAGCGCTCTTATGTCCTATCACTTGCTGTCAACTGCAAAGGTGGTAGAAAGGGATGGAATTTTGCATGCGGATACTGCTTTATTATGCCAACAGGAGGAAGAATGTGCAGCCAATGAGAGGCAGTCACAACTCAGCCCATGAAAAGCCGCTATACTTCCAACTCCCTGTTTGCTCGAATGGACTTTTCGTTTATAAAAGCAACCCCCCCCCAAGGTCTCCCTTTCCTCTATAAAAAAATGTTCCTCTCCTTTGTTCTCTGGACTTGCTTATGGTTTGCCATAGCTTGCTTGCCTCATATTGCAGTTCTTGGCTATTCCCAAATAAATCCATCTTTTGTTGGTAAAATACTTGGCAGTTTTATTATTTTTTTTTAAGATTTTATTTATTTATTTGGCAGAGAGACACTGCGAGAGAGGGAACACAAGCAGGGGGAGTGGGAGAGGGAGAAGCAGGCTTCCTGCTGAGCAGGGAGCCCGATGTGGGGCTCCATCCCAGGACCTTGGGATCATGACCCAAACTGAAGGCAGACGCTTAACGACTGAGCCACCCAGGCGCCCCTTGGCAGTTTTATTTTTAAAGTTAACATTATAAACAAATAACAATTCAAATTTAATATTATAAACATTTTTTCATATAATCAAATCCACCATGTAATGGGCCTGGAGCAGTCAGTCCTACGTGTGGGATTTGCATGCTAACCGTCAAGTTTTCCCAAACATTGCAGTTCTGCATTTTATGAAGTAACACAGCTTCATACTTAACAGAGTTTACATAATTTACTTAACTTTATATACAACAGTGAGACTGCATTAAACAGTGTTCTTGGCACAGCTTGCCTAATTTCCCTTGGTTCCACTAAGATGGGCAGCCCTACTGCTGAGGAGCTAAGCAGCTTGAAGGGTGTGCAGGGCCGGTAGGAAGTCTTCAGGTGTAAGCTACCCTAGAACCTCTCTATCTCTGCACACCAATTTCCTCTTATGAACTACTCCCTGATATTTGAAGCAAATTATTATTTTTTACTCATCAGTACTCATCTGAATGCAGCTGACTTTTCAAAAAGTCTGTATTTGACTTAAACTCAATACTTGGTCATTTGTTATTTTATTCAGCTCATATTTGTTGAACAACTACTACTTGCCAGGTACGTATTTTGGTATAAGGGATAATAGTGTGAATAAAACAGCCAAAAAAATTTCATACTCAGCTTATATTCCACTGACAGGAGACACATATTTAGCTAAGTATGTTATATGATATGAAGTGTGAGTACTATGAAAAAATAAGGAGGCATATAGACAAAGGGATGCAAGGTTGCATTTCATTTCATTTCACTTTAATTCCAATGCAGTTAACATACAGCATTTATAGTCATTTCAGGTGTACAATATAGCAATTCCACAATTTCACACATCATCCAGTGCTCATCACCACAAGTGTACTCCAAAGGGGCACACTTTAAATAGGGTGAAACTATAAGGTCAGTGAAGGCCTCACTGAGAAAGTAATATTTGAACAATGACCAGACAGATGGGAGGGAGTAATCCATGAGGATATCCTGGGAAAAAGCATTAGAAACAGAAGAAAGAACAAAAACAAGGGTCCTAAAATAGGACTATGTCTGATGTGTTTTTGGCATAGCAAAAAAGACAATGTGACAGGTGCACAGTGGGCCATGGGGAAGCTAGTAGGAGATGAAGTCAGAGAAGGATCAGAAGATCCAACCATGTAAGACCAGAAAGGACTTTGCGTTTTAGTGTGATTGAAATGGAAAACCTTTGCAGAACCATAATATAAATTTAAGAGAGCCTTTGCAGAGCTATAATATAAATTTACACACTTGGCTTCTGGGGTATTCTTCAACATAAATCTTCATTAAACAACCAGAATTCGTATATTACATAAATGAGTTCTTACATACCTGTAATTAATATAGATGGGCATGATACTTTCTTATAGTACAAAAATGGTTTTGGGAAATAAGTCTTTTAAAAGTCATAATTTCATAGGGGGAAACTGAAGTAAGAAAAGGACATCTGAATTTCAAGAATGAAGAGAGAAGCAGAAGTTGAAGATAGGCATGCCACCAGTAGATTAAGATGAAGTGTAGGTCTTAGAAATTGGAGGCTTAATCCTTATTTGAGGAAATAATTACCAATCACCAAATAAAGCCAGAACTAAGATCTCCCTGTGTTGCTAAGTCAAAGGCTGCTCGGCTGTTGCTATCTCCACTTACTTGCCTAGGATCATGGCCAAGACTGTGTTGGTCACTTCAACCCATAAATAAATAAAAAGAGTCTTCCTCAAGAGATTGAAATGGCAATTATTAAGAGCACATTTCCAAATGTTTTATGTATGATATGAGGAAAGTAGAAACCATGAGATGACAAACTAATATACAAACTATTGAATATTATCAGATCCAGAGAAGAATAACCAAAGAACTATTTTAAGAGTAACCACAGAATATAAAAACCATGAGTAACCAAGAGACGAGCACAGAAACAATAATGGAGGAATTCACACAAAGATCAAGAAATAATAGAGCATTTAGAAGGCAACTACAGAATGAATGTATTTTTTTTACAAGTTTAGGAATAGATTTATAAAATAAGAATAGGAGAATATGAAATGAAAATAGACATCTAAAATAAACAAGTAGAATCTTAGGAATAAAAAAATATAGTCACTGGGGCGCCTGGGTGGCTCAGTCAGTTAAGCATCTGCCTTTGGCTCAGGTCATGATCTCAGGGTCCTGGGCTCAAGTCCTACATCGGGTTCTTTGCTCAGTGCGGAGACTGCTTCTCCGTCTCCCACTCCCCTTGCTTGTGCTATCTCTCTCTGTCAGATGAATAAATAAAATCTTAAAAAATATATAGTCATTGAAAAAAATAGATCAGGTAGAGCAATAGGCTAGACACAGTTCAAGGGACAATCAGTGTGTTGACAAATAAATTTCCCTAAGCATAATGATGAGGAATAAACAAATGGGAAATACATTTTAAAAGTCAACAAATAGGGAGTATATATTGAGTACCTCCAAGATATAGCTAAAATTTTTCAGAAGGAATGAATGGATAGAATGAAGTAGAAGCATTATTTGAAACACAATGGAATATTACTCAGCCTTAAGAAGGAAGGAAATTCTGACTTATGCTACTGCATGGATGAACCTTGAGGATAGTATGCTAAGTGAATTAAACCAGTCTCAAAAAGACAAATACTATATGAATGTATTTACATGAAGTATTTACAGTAGTAAAAACTATAGAGAGAGAAAATAAAATGGTGTTTCCCAGGGACTGTGGGGAAATGAGAAATGGGGAGTTATTTTTTCATGGATATAGGATTTTGGTTTAATAAGATGAAAAGAGTTCTGGAGATGGATGATGGTTATGGTAATACAACATCATGAAGTGTATCTAATACCACTGACTGCACACTTTAAGAATGGTTAAAATGGGGCTGCCGCCATCGTGCCAGCCCCTCGGGTCTCAACGAGGCCGGGTGACGCTCCAGAATGGGAGACAAGCCAATTTGGGAGCAGATTGGATCCAGCTTCATTCAACATTACTACCAGTTATTTGATAACGACAGAACCCAACTAGGCGCAATTTATATTGACGCATCATGCCTTACGTGGGAAGGACAGCAGTTCCAGGGGAAAGCTGCCATTGTGGAGAAGTTGTCTAGCCTTCCGTTCCAGAAAATCCAGCACAGCATCACGGCACAGGACCATCAGCCCACGCCAGATAGCTGCATCATCAGCATGGTTGTGGGCCAGCTCAAGGCTGATGAAGACCCCATCATGGGGTTCCACCAGATGTTCCTATTAAAGAACATCAACGATGCTTGGGTTTGCACCAATGACATGTTCAGGCTTGCCCTGCACAACTTTGGCTGACCTCCTCCCAGCCAGGCACTCATGCTGTTTCCTCCTCCCTCCTCTTCCTGATACTATTCACACTCCTCCAGATGCCCCAAATATCATACACAAACGAGCAGGGCCGTGGCGGGAGCGGGCGCAGTGCGCTGCTACCGAGGTATTGTGCATGATGTTTGGATGCTAGACTAGTTGCATCTGACAGGAGAAGTTTGTGTTGTACCAGCGCATGCCTTGGAAAGACTTAAGTAATGCAAAAGGTTGTCTTTTTTTTTTTTTTTTTTTTAATCTACTGACAAGTTGCTCTAGTAACCCAAAGAAGTGAAGGAGAAAGCAGCTGCCTCACCGCCCAGATATTGATTTGTTCGGATGTTTCAATGCCTCATGATACAATAAAACCACAAAATTTTCTTAACAGTTTAAAAAAAAAAAAAGAATGGTTAAAATGGTAAATTTCATGCTATGTATATTTCACCACAATAAAGAACAGGGAGGGGTGGATCATAGATCTAAATGTGAAACATAAGACTATAAAATCCACGATATTAACAATAATGAGTCATAAGGCTGAGAGAATCTTTTCTAAGCTTTGAACAATAAATTATCTTTTATCATTTCATAATTTAAAAAACAGACTAAATCATCATTTTATAGATTTATTGCAAAATATACTACAAAATTATTGACATATGAAGAGTTTATCAAATATATGCAGCCAAAATGAACACAGTAAAAAAAAAAAGTTGATGGGGTTCAGGATATGCTATCCCAAAATAAGTCACCTTGGCATATTACATTTGTGCTTAAGAAATACTTCTCTGGAAAGCTGTTCTGCCATAAAAGTATTTCTTTGTTATGATTTCTAAGAATTTGAAACTCTTAAGGAACAGTTTACTTTAAGATTGTTTTCTCAGAGGAGATAAATATTTTTTTTAATAATTTTGAGAATTCATTAGGAAAGGTCACTTCCAGGGGAAGAACATTTATGACCAGTTTCCTTTAATTGCCCCCACAGTTTTTCTGAATGTCCCTACTTACTTATAAGGGCCTCTTGCTGGCTAAGTGGGTGGAGCAGTCAACTCTTGATCTCAGGGTTATGAGTTCAAGCCCCATGTTAGGTGTGAAGATTACTTAAAAATAAAATCTTTTTTAAAAAACAGTACTTACTCATAAAATTAACAAGGAATTCCAAAAACCTATATGAAGAAAACTAAAAAAAAAAAATTGTGCAGAATATAAGAGAAGAATTAATTAAGTGGAATCACAAACCCTGTTCTTGCATAACAGTACATAACTCAACATTGTAAAATGTTGTCTTCCTAATTTAATCTGTAAATTTAATGTAATCCCAACAAAAATGCAGTCTTTTTTTTTTGGAGGTAGGTTATAAATTATATTTGGAGGAATAAATGAAGAACATCATTCAGGAACACAATGGGAAAAAGAGAGCAATATGAGGGTATAGCCTTGACAAATAATAAAACTTAGTCTCTATAACTAAAACATATCAAACTGGCATAGAAAAAAAATGGAATTTAGAAAATTCAGAAATAGACTCAACATATGATAAAATAAGAGGGGAAAGATGGATTTCTTAATAAGTGGTATTAAGATAGCTCAATTTCCATAAGGAAAACAAAATTGTTTCCACTTGTCACAACAAGCATGTAAGTATATAAGAAAACATGGAAGTGTTTTACCTTCACCTGGAATTAAGAGAAACTTTCCAATTCCAACTCATAATCCAAAAGCTACATGGTAGACAATAAATAATTTTGAATATGTTTTTAATTTACATGAAAAGAAACACCATAAACAAAATAAAAAGACTAATGTAAAACTGGAAATAATATTTTCAACATATATGATGAAAAAGGATTAACTCTCATATCTAAAGAGCTTCTAAATATTGAGGCAAAAACAAACATCTAGAAAAATGGGCAAAAGCTATATGAACAGAAAATTCACAGAAAAAGAAATGCAAATGGTCCTTGGCCATATGAAAAGAATCTCAAATCTGTTCATATAGAAATTCAAATTATATTTTGACTTTTTATTATGGAAAATTTCAAACATACTAAAACAGAATTAAATAGTGAACCCCATGTATCTATCACTCAGCTTCATAAATTATAGAAATATAGTGGTATATTCTGTAGTTAGCCTTCAGATCAAACCACAACCCCAATTCCAGGGGACTGAAACAAACATTTCTCCAGCTGTTAGGAATGTTGATGATTGAAAACTGTGAGCTGAGTTCCTCTCCAGGACTTAAGAAAGCAGCCGTGTTCAAATATTATGCCCCCTTCTGAGGGCAGCCTGCATCCAATGGGGGTCAGTTAGAAGGTATAAAGGCCTGACCTTTGCTTCAAATCAGGACATCACTTATAGGTAACCTCAGCTCTGGAGTTCCCTCTGGGATCTGCTGAGGACCCTTGTTCATTTGCATGATAGTTTAATTTCTCCCTTTGCCCAACACAGCTTCCATCAAATCTGAGTCTGTTTCCTGGGGAACCAACCTGCAACAAATATGAATCAAAACACATTGAGAAGCCATTTCTCACCTATCAGATTGCCAAAAATCCAAAAATTTGACAGCATACTCTGTTGCCAAGGCTGTAGGGGAAAGGCATTTCTTATATGTTACTAGAGAGGAAGGAAAATGATACAATTCATCTGCAGAAGAATTGACAGTATTTAGGAAAATTCCACATACATTGACCATTTTGATACAGAAACTACTAGTTCCAGCAAACTATCCCAAAGATGAACTGGCAAAAATATGGCATGATAGATGCACAAGGATATTTTTTGTAACACTGTTTGTAATTGCAAAAGTCTGTAAAGAACCCAAGTATCCATCAATACAAGACCTTTTGAATAATGTACGGTACATTCACATAAAAAAATATTCAGCAGCTAAACAATGGGCTGGAGAAGAGCACTACATATTTAAATAGAGTAATCTCAAAGGCATACTGTTAAATTAAAAAAGTGTCGAACAATATGTAAAACACGTCACCTTTATCTAAGAAAGGGGAAATACCGAGGTGCTTGGCTGACTTGGTTGGTAGAACATGCAACTCTTGATCTTGGGGTTGTGAGTTCAAGCCCCAGGTTGGGTGTAGAGATTACTTAAAAATAAAATCTTAAAAAAAGGGGGAGGAATATAAATGTATGTATGTTTTTGTTTGTATTAAAACATTGCTGAAAGAAATTATAGAAGGCCTAATTAAGGTGGAAAGATATACTATATTTATGGTTCAGGAAGACACAATATGGTAAAATATAATTTTTCTCTAAATTGATCTATAAATTCAATACAATGCCAAATGAAACCAAATGAAGACTTTTCTGTGGAATGTCACAAGCTGATTCGAAAATTTATATGAAGGGGCACCTGGGTGGCTCAGTCGGTTGAGCCTCTGCCTTCGGCTCAGGTCATGATCCCAGGGTGCTGGGATCGAGCTCCACATTGGGGTCCCTACTCGGGGGGGGGGGCTGCTTCTCTGTCTCCCCCTCCCCCTGCTTGTGCTCTCTCTCTCTGTCAAATAAATAAATAAAATAAGATAAAATCCTAAAAAAAAAGAAAATATATATGGAAATGAAAAGGGCCTAGAATTGCCAAAACAACTTTGAAAAATAACAAACTTGGAAAACTAACACTACCTGTTTTCAAGGCTTTATTTTAAAGCTATAGTAACCAAGACAGTGGTCCTGGCTGGAAAATCAACAAATAGATCAATGAACAAAATTAAAAGTACAAAAGTACACACATACATATGGGCAACTGATTTGTGGCACAGACTCAAACACAATTTAGTGAAGAAATGACAATCTTTCCAACAAACTGTGCTGGAACAATTGCATATTCACATGAAAAAATTAACCTCAATTCATAATATACACCACACACAAATGTTAAGTCATTAACCAAAATGTAAAACCTAAAAATATAAACTTCTAGAAGAAAACATCAGAGAAACCCTTGCAGCTTTGGGTTAGAAAAAGATTTCTTAGATACAATACCAAAAACATGGCCCATAAGAAACAAATTAATAAATTGGACTTGATCAAAATTCAAACATCACTTTGAAAGACACTCAAACAGAGGAAAAGATCAGCCACAGATTGGGGAAAATATATTTGCAAATCACATATCTGATAAAGGAGTTGTTTTCAGAATATATAAAGAATTTTCCAACCTCAATAATACAAAAACAACCCAATTTTTCAAAAGACAAAGGTTTGAACAGACCTTTAACCAAAGAAGATACATATTGTTTACAGATGACATGACTGTCTACATAGAAAATACAGAAGAGTTGAAAAAAAAAAAAAAAACTCCTGGAACTAATAAAATCATAGGAAAGGTACAGGATACAAGGTTGATATATAGATATCAATTGCTTTTCTATATACCTGCTATGAACAAGTGGAATTTGAAATTTAAAAAGCAATACCATTTACATTAGCATCCCCCAAAATGAAATACTTAGGTATAAACCTAAGAAAATATGTATAAGGTCTATATGAGGAAATCTATAAAACTCTGATGAAAGAATTCAAAGAAAAACTAAACGGAGAGATAATCCATGTTTATGGATAGGAAGACCCAATATTGTCAAGATGTCAGTTCCTTCTAACTAGGTCTATATATTCAATGCAATCTTAATCAGAATTCCAGCAAGTTATTTTTGTGGTATTGACAAACTCTTTCTAATGTTTATATGCAGAGGCAAAAGGCCGAGAATTGCCAACACAATACTGAAGGGAAATTACTAAGTTGGAGGACTTGTGCTACCTGATTTTCAGACTTATTATGAAGCTACTGTAACAAGATAATGTGGTATTGGCAAAAGATTAGACAAATAGATCATTGGAACAGAATAGAGAGCCCAGAAATAGACCCACATAAATAGAGTCCACTGATATTTGACAAAGGAACAAAGACAATACAATGGAGCAAAGGTAGACTTTTTAACCAATGGTGCTGGAACAACTGAACATCCACATGCAAAGAAATTAATCTAGACACAAATCTTACATCTTTTGCCAAAATTAACTCAAAATGGATCACAGACCTAAAGGTAAAATGCAAAATTTTAAAACATGCATCCATGGTGGGGATGTAAAATGATAGAACTATTATGGAAGAAAATTTGACAGTTTCTCAAGAAGGTAAATGTATGCCTCCCATATGATTCCACTCCAAGAGAAATGAAAGCATATGTCCATACAAAGTCTTATACCCAGATTTTATTTTTTTAAGTTTTATTTATTTAAGTAGTCTCTACACCCAACATGGGGCTCGAACTCATGACCCTGAGATTGAGACTTCCATGCTCTTCCAACTGAGCCTCCTTGTACCTAATGTGGTATTGGCAAAAGATTACACAAATAGTGCCTCCTTGTAC